CCTCAGTTTTCTCCTCTTGGCTTTCAGGGAGAGTTCAGGCTTGATCTTTTCCAGAACTCATTTGTTTATCTTTTTAGTTGTCCATGATATCCTCAGTACTCTTCTCCAGCACCACATCTCAAATGAGTTGATTTTTTCCCTGTCAGCTTTCTTCACTGTCCAGTTCTCACATCTGTACATAGTGATGGGGAATATAATGTCTTGGATGATTTTAACCTTAGTGCTTAGTTCTATATCTTTGCAGTTTAGGATCATGCCTAGTTCTTTCATGCCTGTCCTTCCCATTCCTAGACTTCTTATTTCTTAACTTCAGTCTCCATCTTGATCAATGTTTAATCCAAACTGAATTTATGTATATCCTCCATGGTCATTATTTTTGTTTTCTTTATGTTCAGCAGTAATCCTGCCCATGCACTTTTATTTTATTTATTTATTTCATTTGTATGTTGCCTTTCTCCCAGAAGGGACCCAAGGCGTTTTTCTTCCTTGACCTTCCTTAGTAAGAGAGCCCTAATGGTGCAGTGATTAAATGCTGGTACTGCAGCCACAATGTAGTGAGTTTGATTACAGGGCTCCAAGGGTGTCTCAGCCTTCCATCTTTTTCATAGGTCAGTACCCAGCTTGTTGGAGGCAATGGGATTACAGATTGTAAACCACTTACAAGAGTGCTGAGTTCACTATTAAGGGCTATAAAAATGTAAATGCTGTTGCTATTGTCCCAAGTCTGTGATGTTTTCTGCTAGTTTATTGGTGTCATCTGCATTTCTTACATTGTTGATATTCCCTCCTCCTATCTTCTGAAACTGAAACTACCCTGCAAGAAGAACAAGAAGAAGACCCATGAAAAATAAATCTAAGCCTTCATTTTCTACATACCAATACATGGGTCTCAAATAGAATAAAATCAGGACCAAAGTTTAGCCAAAGAATCAGGAGATATCCAAGAAGACAGAAATGAAAAATAAGCAGAGAAGCAGACTCTATGGTCTAGGCTTTTATATCTCCAAAATCTTCAGGAGCCAATGAAGATTTGATTAGCCCATCATAGTTCAGCACTCACATCCTCTGCAGCTGCATAAGAAACAATAGTCCCTTGTTAACTCAACTGAAAGCAAATTATTAATTACCAGAGCTTCTGCTTCTTGCCTTGACAAGCTAAGCTAGAAACAGAATAGGTGAAAACTGAAGTTTAAATACAACCTTTGCTTTCAGGGAATGGTAACAAGTCCCAAAATTCTCTAAACACAGAACTTAGCATTGTTAGCAATTAGGTTTTCTTCATGAGAGCTGTATTTGGGGAAAATGGCACCAGGAGATTAGGAATATTTGGACCCAGTTTTAGATAGATCCACATTGTCTCCCCACGTCTACTTTGATCATTATCACCTCCACCATCACATCATCATTCTATATTTTTCCCACCCCAGGTCTTAAGGCAGCTTATATAATTAAGAGATTCAAATAAAAGCTGCTAACAAAACTACATACAAAAACCAAGTAGTAATTAAATTGTTGACAATATGGGCCAGATAAACACTCTCAGCCCCAGAAAACCCTGTGTTTTACCTTAGAGTCACCGTAAGTTAGAAATGACTTGAAGGCTGTGATAAATGGGAGTACCTCCAATTATCAGGGCCTTTTTCCCTATGGGAAGGGGTAATGGAGTCTATGAGGAGGATATCATTAGTGGTGTGAGGCAAACATCCATCAGATGGCTTTGATAAAAGAACCTTCTGGATCGTTGCTGAAGAGAGACAATTAGCAAAGTTGAGAGAAGGCCTGAGAAAGAGCAAGGCCCTTGGCCTGTGGGCCTGCCTCACTACTAGTCAGGGAAGTCAGGTTTGCAGTATATTAAGGTTTGGCTGACAAGATTTTGTTTTTGAAACTGATACTTTACATTTTGTGCCTGGAGGACCAGTTGTCCTCCAGGTTTCTTTTCTTTAATGTTCCTTCTTTTAAATAAAATTGTTTTGTTCAGTACTCTTTCTCTTCCTTCCTTTCTTTTAATGTCTTTAGCTTGCCTACTGCTTGTTCTATTTGTAGGTTATTAATAGAAGGCCCAGCAATGCTCCAATGCATTGCTGGGATATGGCAGGTTAAATCATTGAGTGGTGGCAACAATTGTTTATTTGGAGATTACAGTGGTCTCAAAGGGTCCCATCCAGCTTAGCAGAGTGGAGTGGGACCATAGAGAACCATCATAAAGGCACACAACAACAAAACAACAACAAAATTAAAAAACATATCAATTGAAAAGATTGTGCCATACACACTGCTTTTCTCTCAGGACAGAAGACAAAGCTACAAAAAATAGTAACTACCCATAAATAAATATTAAATTTTTGAACAGCTTTGATTGTAAGTGTAAAGATTGGGGTTCTTGATCTAAATCCCATTTTAGTCCCAACTAGATCAAACCCACTGAAAAGGAAGGATGTATTAGTCATAATTTACATAGGTCTGTTGATTTATGTGGCATTAGTACTGAATTTATCCTTCAGTCCTTTACACTCATTGTGAAAATGAATAGAACCTGAATGTTCTCCAGGAAGCAAAATGAATTATTTTCCCATTTTGTATTTTCAGTTGCCATCAATTTTATGTAACTACTGGAAGTTCATAGTTCTATCACATTGTTCAAGGACATTGTTAACTTTCATTAACCAGGTTGAGATACTGGAATTGTTGCTTCATAGCATTGCTGCATAGAAAAAGATGTAAAGTGCAGACATTCTATATAGTAGAATTTTGACCAGGTGTAAATGATTTCCACAAACTGCATATGTAAAGTTAAAAATAAGCCAGGAGACAGAAAAAATGTTCCAAAAAATCTATTGCTTTTTGTGATTGGGATTTTAGTACACCATGATATAAGCAGAGTGATGTTCTCCAGTTGTCAATAGATTGCCCTCAGTCCAGAAATACTACCATTTCTTATCCAACATTACAAGTGTGTATTTACCTCTGACCTCAGCCATGCCTGTAATCCATATTCTAGCCTTATTTTGTTTTAACATGCAGTGTTCACCACTTTGGTTCCCACATGAGAGAAATGCAGGATATAAAATAAACAAGCAAGTAATATCTTTTAAAACACAGGAATTTTCACTGGGGTGAGAAAATAAAAAAAAAGTCATGCATTTAAAAAAGACCTAGTGCTGTGTTGGTGAACCTATGGCATACATGCCATTTCTGGCATACAAAGTCATTTTGGAGGGCATGCAGAGAGATGGGGTGGGGAAAAAGGAGGAACAGGCATGCACCTGTTCCTCCTCTTCTCTCTGCCCTCCAGAGACAGTTGAAGTCCTGGGACAGTGGGGAAGAGGAAGAACAGGCCCACACCTGTTTCTCCTCTTCCCCCTGCTCTCCCAGGCCTTCAGCTGCCTCTCTAGAAACAGCTGAAGACCCAGGATGGTGGGGAAGAGGAGGAACAAGTGCACGCCTGTTCCTCCTCTTCCCCACCATCCCAGGCCATCACCTGTCTCTAGGGAGGTAACTGAGGGCCCCGGCAGGGGGAAGAGGATATACCACCCCAAAAAGATGGAAGTCCTGCTCCTGGAAGTTCCATCCCCCCCAAAGACCCACTCCCCAGCATTGGGTAACACCTGGTACTGGAACATTTTTAAGTTTGGGCACTCGCTCTCTAAAAGCTTTGCAATCACCACTTAATGCATGACAATTATAAGATTTTGTTTCCTGCTTTTATTTAATAACTCATAGGCTTCTCCATACCTAGGGAAACCTTCCCTTAAGTGCCACTACCTCATTATAGAGTCACCGTATTTAATTTCAAAACATGACTCTCTGAGCCAAGTGAGGTCTGCAATGAAATGTTGCAGTCCCATCCTAACATAGTTGCTCCTTTAAGCTGTGACTGTCAGAGCTTCTTTTTGTAGGCTATTTACTCCATTTGGTTATTTACTCCAAATTCCCCCAGACACGATGTGTCCTGTTTACATGCCACAAGGCCAAAACTGGGCACAAACTGTCTTCATGATGTCTACATCTAATTTGGCCTTTTCTCCCCTTAACCTGAATGTTAAAACCTTACAGTTTGCTCTAGGTTGTCATCTCTCTCTGCAGTGGTGACTGGAGTCTGACTTCCCACATGGTCCCTGCAAGATGCCCGGTGCTGCCACTGTGGGCATGAGTTGTTATGAGGCCAGAACATGGCTGGGTGTCTTCTAATAACCTCAGCAATGGCAGTTGGTGACAAATAGTCATAAATAGTGATCATGCGGAAAAGCAGCCACCCATTGTCACTGCAATAAAAACAAAAGTAATGGGGAATTCAGAGCCAGAATACTCCAGGGGCAGCATAGTGTATTCTGGCCAGTGATGACAAGCCCTCAGCTAAGGATCCTTCATTTCATTACTTTCAGAGCTCTAGTACCACAACAAATGATACTTCCCAAAATTCCATAGCATTGAGCCATGGCAGTTAAAGTGGTGTCGTATTGTATTATTTTTGCAGTGTGGATGCAGTTTTTCTCTCAAATGGACAGCCCTTTAGATTTTTTTTTAAAAAAAATGCACACATGTTCCATTATGCTTATTTTGCTGATATCTCTCTCTCTCTCTCTCTCTCTCTCTCTCTCATTTCCCAGTG